TGTGTCTTTGTTTCTGTTCCTGGTTCCTGGCACAGTGCTCCTAAGTCTCTGGAATTTCTAGATAGGGGTGAGAGGAGCATCTTTTGTTATTCATAGCAAACCCCTTTCAAACATACCTGGATTCATGCTACTGAGGTGACTCTTGGAGGACAGGAGCCGGTTGTGAAACAAACCAACCATGTAATTAGAGCACTGGAACTTTCAGCCCTGCCCTCTGATCTCCAAGACAGTAAGGCGGGTTGGAGATGGACTTAATTGCAAATAGCCAATGATTTAACTAGTCATGCCTACATAATAGTCTCCATAAAAACATTCAGCTATGGGGCTCAGAGAGCTTCCAGGCTGCTGGACACAAGGGGGTGCTGGGATGGTGGCATTCATGGAGAGGGCATGGAAGCTCCATACCACCCCCAGAACTTGCCCAATGCACCTTTTCATCTGGCTGTTTATTTGTATCCTTTACCATATGCTTTATTACATACCAGCCACAGTAAGTACAAGTGTTTCCCTGAATTCCATGAGCCATTCTAGCAAATCACTGAATGTGAGGGAGGTCATGGCAACTCCTGATTTGCAGCCAAGTTGGACGGAAGTGTGAGGTAACCTTGAGACCTAGGATTTGTGATTGGCATCTGGGGGGAGAGAGAGAGAGAGAGAGAGAGAGAAAGGGGCGGGGGGGAGAGTGAGTGAGAGTGTATGTGTGTGTGTCAGGGGTGTGGCAATCCTGTGGAACTGAGCCCTTAACCTGTGGGGTCTAGGCTAACTCTAGGTAGATGGTGTCCAAATTGAACTACAGGACACTCGGCTGGTATAGGAGAATTGGTTGGTGTGGGGAAAGCAACCCACGCATCATGTTTGAGTGTTGTGAACATTGGCTACAAGCCCTACAGATGAGTCTGTCTACACAGCTAGTCTTCCGCTTTCCTTGACAGCTCAGTCTTCCTAATCCCACTGAAAACGGCTCACTAGCCGGCTGGCAACCTGAACTTCTCAAGCCTTCCAAGAGTGCAAAAGCCAAGATCATATCAGTGGGATTGGCCTAGAGAAACAAGAAACTATCCTTTCCAGATCTCAGAGATGCCTGCCTCACCCTGCTGGAATGCGGCTTGAATCAGTGCCTTTTAGGACAGCCTCTCCAAAATTCATTTATTTTGGCTCCAGGGTGCATTAGGCTGTAAGGAGCACTCTGGCTTTATAACAACAGCCTATCAAGATCACTCCAGGTCTGGTCTGGAGAGATTCACCAGATAAGAAAGAGCCTTTCCTGCTATTAATCTACCCCTTTGACTCAGGGTGCTGCCTGTTATGTTCTATGCTGACTTGGTGAGAACCACTTCACACATTTGTCCAATAACGTCAGTGAAGGAAAGAAGAGATGAACAGGGGCATGCCTATCATTCACCAGTTCACATGGCAAATGGCCCCTAGCTCTCTCTTTATCTTATACTGTCATGTCAAGCTCACAGGGGCAGAGGCAGTCCAAAATGACAGGGCCCAGAAGAAGGAAGCCAGGTGGCTGGGTCCTCAACCTCAGTGGGGCTACAATAATAGGCACAAATTCATTTAAAGGAATACGCTTGGTCTTGCTATTTTTAAGGTTAGTTGTAGCATTCATTTGACAAGTTTTTTATTCTCTTTTTTCTTTTGAGACAAGTTCTTGCCCTGTCACCCAAGTTGGAGTCCAATGGTGCAATCACAGCTCACTGCAGCCTCAACTTTCTGACTTAAGTGACTCTGCCACCTCAGCTGGGACCACAGGAACATGCCACCATGAACAGCTTTAAAATTTTTTGTTGTGACAGGTCTCACTATGCTGCATAGGCTGGTCTTGAACTCCTGGGCTCAAATGATACTCCCATCTCAGCCTCCCATAGTGCTGGGATTGCAGATGTGAGCCACTGTGCCCAGCCAACAAATATTTATCAACTACTTACTATGGAACAGGCAGGCACTGTGCCAGCCAATGAAGATACAGGAGCATTCAAGACTGATTTGACCTTAACCTTTAGAACTTGTAACAGGTTTGGGTTTTGTCCCTCCTGTCATAAACACACACACACACACACACACACACACACACGCATATTACACACGCACGTACCGACACTAATAAACCAGTTCTGATGTAGTGCTACCACTGACATTACAGATACAGCAAGCATCAAGGAAGTATTCAGAAAAGTCACTGCCTCTGCTTGGATGAGAAGACACGACCTGACAGGCAATAAAGGAAAAGATACGGGGTATTATACATGCAAATGATGCATGAGAGCACAAAGCACTCTCTTAGGAACGAATAATACAAACAAAAATAAAGTATAACAACTATCCATATAGCATTTGCGTTGTATGTTATAGGTAATCTAGAGATGATTTAAAGTACCTAAGAGGTTGTACATAGGTTATATGCAAATACTATGCCATTTTACATGCAAAACTCGAACATCCACAGATTTTGGTATTTTCTGGGGGTCCTGAAATGAATCCCTCATGGACACTGAGGGATGCCTTTAATTCAGCACGAGTGAGTTCCTCAATTTCTGAAGAATGGAGTCTCCCATCGGGCATCTGTGCCCGTATTTGCTGATGAAGTAATTCCTGCCACCGAGAGGGAAGACTGCAGCCCCTAAAAAGCAACTGTGGAAGACCAAATGCTTACACCCTGTTTTCTCTGCACACTAGGCTATTGATCAGCCTCATTCTCCAAATCCAACATCCTTAGCCCTAAATATCACCAGCCAGGAGCTTCAAACCAACACAACTCCAGTGAAAAGCAACTGAGACCACAGCATCACATCCTCTATCAGACGCTAGATGGACACCACAGGCTAAGCTGGCTTTCTCCAAGTGCTCTGTAAATAGAACCACTGGGCTTCATAGTGTGTGGAAGCAAGTTATATGAGCATAAGATCCTGTCAGGGTAGGCATCAAGAATAGACCATTCTCAAAATATTAAATACCTGGTATGTCCCAGTCTCCGGGGTTAGAAAAATAATGAGCGCCGTCTGCCTGCTAGGAACTCCAAGTTTAGTGGAGAAAGACACACACACACACACACACACACACACACACACACACACGCACAACATTTCTTGTACATCTCAGATTCTTGCCTGTTCTTTTCAAGTTCCATCTCAAGTATTCAAAGGTTAAGAACTTGTTCCAGTTCACTTGGCAGAGCCAGGATTAAATCTCAAGGCTGTTTGCCTTTTAAGACCATACTCCCTCTTCAATACCATCCAGTGCCTGTCAAGCACTTCCTATGCAAAGCGAAAGGCTTACACACAGGGTAGATGTAAACCAAGGCTACCAGAAACACATGAGACAGAGCTAACTCTGACTGGGACGTCGGAGGGGAGATGTTTTCTTCAGGATTAGTCAGTCAGATGGGCATGAGGGGAAAGGAATTCCAGGAAGAAAGCAGCATGTCCCAAGAGGCAGGGCTTTGTGAATCAGCCTTTGGTGGTGGCAGGTAGCGTAGAGCAGTGGGAAGTCTGGAGTGTGTGAAAGGAAATCTGGCCAGGGTAAGTCAGGGAGGGCAGATGAGGCAAAGGCCATTAAGAGCCTCCACATTCAGTGATGGCATCCAGATCTGTTCCCACAGGCAATGGGAAACCATTAAAGTTCTGAGAGGGAGAAACTTCTGATGTTACATTTAAAGGGTCATTTTTTTTCCATAAAGGGATATGTATTTATACTTTGGAACATTATACAACTCAGTGCCTCCTTTGAAAAGAAGAAAAAGTCCTTTCAAACATATGGACATGGGATCTGTCCCTTTAATTTTATTCTGTACCATATGGCACTTTGAATTTTTAGAATATGAGTAGAGGACTGACTTCACAGATCAAAACTTAGTAAGAGAAATCTCATCTGTTATTTTAATTTTGTTGCCACTACAGCCAATGCCCAATTTATCAGTCCAATAAAAGGAATGGGTGAGATCAGAGAACTTGTAAAGCACTTAGACACGCCTAGTATATACCAGGCACAATATAAGGATTTGATACACACACACACACGCAGAGTCAAAAGGCATTTACCTCTTAATTTCTTAGGGAAATTCCATGGTAATAAAGTAATTTCAGCCCTACCATGGGGAGAATTGAAGGCTACACAGAGGTGCGTATGTGCGTACCAGTACAGAAAATGAACTAGAGGCATCAAAAAATAGCTGTCACGCCAAGCTGAGGTACAGCATCACACTAAACACAGAGGTCTCAGGTTTTTGGAAACCAGAATTTACTTCCATATCAGATTTTCTAAATAAACTTGTTATAAACCTTCACAAGAACTTTCCTCAAAGAGCCTCTGTACAGATTGATATATATTCCTCATACACCAAGGCTGTGTTTCTACTAAGCCAAATAAACATCTGGACAAAAACTTTAATCATTTCATTGTTTCCAAGCGCCTGGATGTTTGAGGGTAATAAGACATCTAGACCCTGACTGGGATTTTGGTCTTTATCAGATACAACTGCAAAGAGAAATCCAGCTGAAGCTTCAAAAACTATATTACTTGTAGTGCTTTGAAGCTCAGGGAAGTCAAATGACATGCCTAATGTCACAGAGCTGGCAGGAGGTTGGGCAGGGTTTAAGCCCTGGTCTGTCTGATACGATATTCGAGCCTATATTCCTTCCATCACATCAACTGCCTCAACAATGCCTTATTTAGAAGATTCTGAAGCACAGAATAACTAGCCTTTCAGTATTTACAACCTTGCCAGTTTATTTGAAGAAAATAATATGAGTAGAAAAGACATTAAGTGTCTTGCCCTGAACTCTGCATGTAAACAAAGACTGGTAACATTGCCTTAAAGCAGAAATTCACATGCATTTCCACAGAGTGGAGACATGCTTAACAATTGTTCCAGAATGCTACAACTAGAAGGAGCATTAGGTGCCATCTGGGCTACCTCTCCTGATGCTGAGGGTAAATTTCTTTTTCTTTCTTTTCTTTTGTTTTTTTTTTTACTACTCATTTATATATTTTTATTCGGAAATGTTTATAACAGTACAAGGAAACAATTTTGGAGACTCTAAATGTCATCAGTTATCATTAGTTTATTATAAAAGAGAGGGATGGAAATTATTTACATGATGAAAGATTTCAGAACTTCAGTGGAACGGGCAGCTTCACGTTGATGCCATTTCAATAGTGACTTATTTCAGTCTATGTACTTTCCAAGAATGTCACCGTCTCTAAATAAGAAATAATCCTTGTCATCTAGAACTACTTTGGTGCCTCCATATTCTGGGAGAAGAACTTTATCTCCAACTTTCACGCTAACTGGTTGAATCTCTCCACCCTTTCCTTTAGAACCCGATCCAACAGCGACTACGGTTGCTTGAAATACTTTTCCTTGAGATTTTGCTGGAAGCATAATGCCTCCTTTGGTTACAGTTTCAGCTGCACTCCTTTCAACCAATACTCGATTCAAAGAGTGGGAGAAACCTTCTAAATGCCTGTCCTGCCATGACTCCCTCCGCCTCAGACTCAAACTCTGCTCTGGCGCACCGCGGCAAGGAGAGACCGCTGAGGGTAAATTTCAACATTAAAAGGAACAAAAAGAAAACCAGACCAAAGTTCTCCAGTTTCAGTAATTGGGTGCTTTGCTTACATTTCTTAACTTTTTATCTACACTTGCTCTAAGTGCTATCGCACATGTTAAAACGTACGCTTGGCAAAGCTGGAACTGAAATGTAAACATTAGTGCTTTTAAGCAAAGGTAAAGGCTCTGGTTTGGATGGTTAAAGAAACCAGAAGTTTCTTCTCACTTGGCTATCACTAAGCTTCATGTTAGAGTGTTTCAATGTCTCCACCTTGTGGACATAATCAACACTACATCAAAATAAATTCACTGGCCATCTTCGTAGAATTAAGACTGGTTTGACAATAAAATAAACTCTTTATTACAGGGCACAGAAACCTCAAAACAAGCCAGAAATTTTTTGGTAGTATGTGAAAATTGGAATTGATAATGATAAATCTGAGTCCACGCTAGATACTAAAATCTTATAAACAATAATACAAGATTGCCGGGCGCGGTTGCTCAAGCCTGTAATCCCAGCACTTTGGGAGGCCGAGGTGGGTGGATCACGAGGTCAAGAGATTGAGACCATCCTGGTCAACATGGTGAAACCCCGTCTCTACTAAAAATACAAAAAATTAGCTGGGCATGGTGGCGCGTGCCTGTAATTCCAGCTGCTCAGGAGGCTGAGGCAGGAGAATTGCCTGAACCCAGGAGGCGGAGGTTGCGGTGAGCCGAGATCGTGCCATTGCACTCCAGCCTGGGTAACAAGAGCAAAACTCCGCCTCAAAACAAACAAACAAACAATAATGCAAGATTAAAGATTAAATTACAGGCAATTCAGTTGTAGTAATAGGTGTATGCTATCGTTTTTCACATTTAGGGAAAACTAGAAAAAGTGATGCTCTAAGTTGACCAGATCATTTAATTTCTCAGTCCATTAACTGCCCCAGCCACTCCAGGTAGCTGAAAGGTGTTGTATTGTAAGGTGTTGGGGCTCAAAAACACTACAAAGTAAAGGCTCCGGAAGCAAAAGTTTTTCTTTGACCTTCTCCTGCTCTCTGGTCCCTCAATCCTATTTCCCCTAAGGTCAGCCACAGAAACTAGAATCCCTTTGCCCCCAGGTGGGCCATAGAAATCAGAACCCTTTTTTTCCAAGGCCAGCCATAAAACCTACAAATTACTCCAATTTTCCCTCTTCCTTTCTGTGTGAAGCTGGCCATAAATAAATTATCTGGCCTACCTTGTTTGACTGTAGAAACTCCGTTACAGAGAGGGCTCTGCCCCACACCCAGGAGGCAGGAATGCTGCTCGGAAGGGCCAAGAAGAATCTAGACAGACAGGCCTTGCTGGGTTTCCCCACTCCATCTATTAGCATTAGATTTTGCCCAATCATATTTCTACACAGCTGCCCATGCTTTGTAGAACCTAAGCATAAAATTGGACTATTTCCCCTGTATCTTTGGGTATTCATTCTGAAGGCTCCTGTGAGTATACATTAAGTAAATTTATATGTTCTCTCTCTAATAAATCTGCCTTTTGTGAGTTTTCAGTGAACCTTCAGAGGGTGAAAGAGCAATTTTCCCTTTGCCCCTACAAAAGGTTTGACGGCTCCTGTTTCCAAAGATTTCACTACCCAAGATAGTTCTAAAAGTGACAGGCTGAAAACCAAAGCACCTCCAAGCCTCTGTTTTTAATTAAATAAAAGAACACTTCTAGTCACAGAGGTAGAACTGAGGAAAATTAAATTAATTTTGAAATAAACTCTAGTAGTTATACTACTTCAATACAGCAATAAAATGTTGGCAAGATGAAACACGACTACCCTTAAGGGAAATCAGCTCTGGAGCCACTAGCCCTGGGCTCTGCCCCTAACAGCTGCGAGTCCTTGGGCAAGTAATTTAACCTTCCTGGACTTCACTTTGCCCATCTATAAAATGGGGATTATGATATCATCTACCTCAAAGCATTGCTGTGGAGCTAGAACAAGAGAGTATAAAGCACCTAGCACTGCATTTGGCATATAGGAGAGTTTAGCTATTATGTAAATTATAAAAATACTGATTCAGCCATGGGGTTCTTGATCATTATTTTCGTGGAAATGAGTGGCACAATTATTATTTCTGCTTTTCCTTATCTGTAACTTTAATAGCTAGAACATTCAAGGTGGAAAAGATCTTGGAGGAGAACTTCTGGGCAGTTCACATTAACAGATGAAGGAAGAAGTCTCAGGCAAGTGAAATAACTCACTGTACCCAAGTCTGCACGGCAATCTGAGAGGGGTGCAAAAACAAGATGCCAGCCTCATGCTGTAGTCACGGCGGCTCCATCTGAAAGGTCCCTGAGACATCATCTCATCACTCCACTTCACAGATGAGCACTTAGAGGAACAGGGAGGCTGGGTTTGTTCATTCATTTGCTGATTCACATGTTCATTGATTTCACAATAGTTATGAGCTCCTATTGTACACAACACACTGGGGAATCTGTGGTGGACAAGCACGGCAAGTCCTGGCTTTTTGGTGCTTATTGTTGCAAGTTGGAGGTGGGCGGGAGGCAATAAAGGATCAACACACAATCAGGCTCATTTCAAATAGTGATACGCTTCCAAAGCAGCCTGCTAGAGTCGGAGATGCCTAGGGCAGGATGCAGGATGCATACCTATTTCTAATTGCATGGTCAAGGAGGTGTCAGCTGAGCAGCAGGAAGGACCTACCATGCAAAGCTCTGGGAAGCAGAATCCATGCTGAGAAACACAGAGTGCAAGGCCGTGAGGCAGGAAAGAGCTTGACAAGACTGAGGATTAGAAGGGACGGCTGCAGTGGGGAAACAGGTGGGAGAGAGGAAGATGAGACCTAAGAGGCAGGTGCAGACCCAGGGAGGCCATCTAACCTGCAAGGATTCCATCCTCAGTGCAAGGTTTGGTTTAAAGGACTGACATGACATGGTTTGTTCTCAAGTGTCACTTTGGTGCTTGTGAGTTACTGGCCAAGCCTGGACTACCCAGGCCTTCAGACTCACAGCCCAGCAGCGTTTCCCTTCATGACACACAGCCTTTGATATAGACAGCAGAAACTCAGGCGGGCAGTTGACCTTCTCCGGAAGACTCAAATAGAACCCTGCAAAAGAGCAGCCAGGCGGCCCTAGGTACTTACCCGCTTGTAATGTCATCGGTCCGGATGTTCTTGCTCAGAACGTCCCCGTCACTCATGTAGCCGGGGGCGTCTATGCTGATGCCTTCCAGGTCTATCTCATCTCCTGCCTTGTCTGAGACGTCCACATGGCAGATGCTGCTGCCCCGAGAGGCCAGTTGCCTTCTTAGAGGGGCAGAGTACACGTAGCGACCTGACTCAGTGTTGATGAACCGGCTGGCGTTGGCTCGAGGGGGGTACCCATTGCCCATCGAGGGGGCATCTCCTGCTTGGAGCCGAGGGCTGGACTGGCCCAGTCTCCAGGACAGAGGCGTGGGCCTCCCTGTCAAGCTGAGTATGCTACGGCCACTCATCTCGGTGGTGACATTAGTGTCAAATGTGGTTTCCAATGTGCTAGAAACATAAAACCAACCTGATTAGACTCAAAGGTATCTTGTATCCTTCATAGTTTATATGCTCTTTAGTTACTTAGAATTATGAAATAATCCTCATATGCAAAACAGGATAAAACAACCGGCCCCCATGAACCACCTGGTTTGTTTCCTCTGTTCAAAATGAAACAGGAAAGCTGCACATCTACATAACATTCTGAAAAGCCTAGCGGAGACTTGCCCTGCTAAAACATGGTACAAGAAACGAATGACTCTAAATAACCTCAACTATTAGAATTTTCTTTCCGATCCAGGAAAGAAAATGCCAGAGAATGCTGAACTGATTAGGATGGGGCATGAAGGCTGCTGCTTACCCATTCATTCTAGGATGTCGCATGACAGCCCTTTTTTGCTAAGGGTGGGATTCTCCACCCACCAGGAGTTCCTAATACCACATTTTATATCCTTAGCGTCCTCCCACCTAAGCAGTAGAGACAGCCCTAATTTTCTGACCCTCTGAGGTTCATTTCCACCAGACTTTTGCTTTTCTCATATTTCATCCAAAAATCCTGGAAAGATTGGTAAATGCCTGGGCTTGAGTTCCCTCTTCAATCAAGTTACATGGACCAGAATCTGCCAAGAGATTGAGCTCATTCTTGATGCCAAAGGATGAACTCAGTCTCTTGGCAGAATCTGTCTTCCCCGTCTCCAGTGCTGCACATTCTTGCAGCCGGGTCAAGACTATCATCTGCACTTCTACAGGAAAACTGGAATTTCCTCACTGAGCAGAGTGAGTGAGATTCTTCCCTGCAGAAGAAACCACTGAAGTCTAATTAGCATCCCACCATGAAACTGCTATGCCAATATCGAGTCAGTGCCAGTGACAATGGTGGAAAGACAGATGTTTCACACCTAATGGAAGAGTCACAAGATCCAATATCTGACACCCCGTCATTCAGATACCTAAAGGTTTAAGAGGGTACCACCTCCAAACCCCTGAGTTTACTCTCCTCTGAAAGAGCCAACTTGGTTCCTTAAGCTGTTTTTGTTTTCCTCTGATCTTGGAAAGACCCTTTGTTTTGGGCCTCTGTCCTACTGGGGATGGAACCCACAGTGGTTAACCCCAATCTGCCAAAACTGCTGACAGTGGGGCGGCCCTGTGGGTTCCGTGCCGTAGTCACGTATTGGAGAAACTGAAATTGGAGAAGCAAAGGAGACTCCCAGGAGCTCAGCAGGGACAACGAAGACTTTCCTTGATTTCCACAAACTATAAAACCTCCTCCTGCCCAAAAATCACAGCCCAGGGTTGCAACCTCTTCAACTTCTTGTTCAACAATGGAAGCACCTGACAAATGTTTCCAGTGTCATCCTAGATTTCATCCAACTAGATCAGAGTTTAAACACGATCATTAGTTTTTATAAATATTTCCTTACGTGTTTTATGCATGTACATGACTAACAATATTACAGAGGGCTGCATAGTCAGAAGACTGGGCAAGAATTCAAGTTATTCAGTTTATCACACAGGCCAAATATAGTTCACCTGCTCATTTCAACAGCACCAGATAGTTTTAGAAAATGCAAGTAAAGTGAAATTTAAATAGAGGTAGTCTACAGTGTCCTCTGCTGAATGGATTTAGCAACCTTCTGCTTTTGGGAAAAATCTGTCTGTGCTAATTTTTGTTTCCTATAACTCTTCTGCATGTTTTATGGCATTCTTTGTGAATTCCAGCACATTTGGAAAGCAAGACTATTGATCCATTATAACCAAATCACTTTGCTAGTGGTATGAACAGACACAGGAGAAGTACTGAAAAGTAAGATACCAGCTAGTTAAGTAATTCACGCTTTAGATACCTGTGTGTAACCTGAGTTCCCCTTAAACTGGACATGGTTTCCTCCAAATTCTGCCGCAGATCAGCGATGTTCTTCACTGTCCGCAGCCGCCGAGCCTCAGGATCTTCCCCTGGAAAGAGGAGGGTTAAGACTAGTTAAATTCTCTGGCCGACCATGAGCTTCCTAAGAGCAGCATCCATGTCTGCGACAATAACTGTGTTCCATGCTCAGCACGTGGCTTGCTATGGGTGCTTAATAAGGATTTGAGAATGAATGAATGATTGAATGGATGCCCAAAGGAAGTATGAAGTCGAAGGAGATTCTTCTTTCAGCTGCCTCCTTAAAGGTGAAGTGTAGTGGGTGGGAAAAGCCAAGTGCCTAGTCTGAGATGTAAACACATTTTCCCCAGTGTCTCCAACAGAGACATGCTCAGGTTAGGTCTGAGCAGGGAGTCATTTTCTGCCCCCCAACCCAAAAAAGAGTGAGGCATTTTGTTTTCTATCAGTGATATATGCAGCTATCTTAGGCCCTACTTTTCAAGCATAGCTTGCAGTAGCTAGAAGATCTGCACCTGTTAATCAAAAATTTTTTTTTTTGAGATAGAGTCTTACTCTGTCATCTAGGATGGAGCACAGTGGTACGATCTCAGCTCACTGCAACCTCTACCTCCTGGGTTCAGGCAATTCTCCTGCCTCAGCCTCCAGAGTAGCTGGGATTATAGGCACCTGCCACCACACCTGGCTAATTTTTTTTAATTTTTTGTACAAATGGGGTTTTACCATGTTGCCCAGGTGGTCTCAAACTCCTGACCTCAGGTGATCTGCCCATTTCAGCCTCCCAAAATGCTGGGATTACAGGTGTGAGCCACCATACCTGGCCTAATTCCATTTCTTTCAGCCTTACAAAAAGGAGAAGGGCAATAACTATAATAATGATGAACAGAATTAATAGGGCACTAGGCAGCTAAGAAATGTCATAGAATTAGCTTTTCTTCTGAAATAGATAACAACTTTCTTAGGTTGTTCTTGGTATGGTAGTGCCTGGAGGCTGGGATGGATATGCCCATGATTTCACGGAGGAAATTTACTTGAAAATGCAAGTGCTTTCGATCCCCTCCTTCCCCCTTTTAACCCAAAGAAATTTGGAAGGCATTTTTCTCTTACCTGAACAGTGGTCAAACTTGTACTTCCCACCCAGTGTTTTAAAATACATACATATGTATGTGTTTTTAAACAAAAGCAAAGATGAATATCTGTTGTACTTTCCCTTAATGATCTTGGAGGAATGTCATTGCATCTACTTTCTGGACCATCAGTAAAATCTTTTACTGACAGTTTGGCCACATTTTATGTATACAAGGCTGCTAAAAACATACCGATTCTTAGGTTAGCTTTATAACCTTTAGAAAACATTGATTATGAAGCTAAGTCTAGGCACAGGTTTTCAAATTACCTCAATTGGTTACCTTAACCACACACACAAAATATAATAACTATATTTGCTTATCCATCATGCTACTAATGACCTATTTGCTGGTCTTAACCCTCCATTAGAAATTCAACTATTTTATTTTATTTTATAGAACAGGCTCTTGCTGTGTTGCTCAGGCTGGAGTGCAGTGCTATGATCCTAACTCAATGCAGCCTCAAACTCCTGGGCTCAACTGATCCTCCCACCTTGGCCTCCCATGTAGCTAGGGCTACAGGCATGTACCGCCATGCCTGGCTAATTTGTTTTCTTGCTATGTTGCCCAGGCTAGTCTCAAACTCCTGGCCTCAAATGATCTTCTCACCTTGGCCTCCCAAAGTGCTAAGATTACAGGTATAGCCACTGCATCCAGCCAGAAAGTCAAAGATCTTTGAGATAGGGATGGTTTCACCTTTCCTTTTGGCAACCCCCACACAATTTATAGATGCCTAAGAAATATTCATTACCCAACGCAGGTTTGGTCAGTGTGGGGTTGTAGGAAAAGCATGGACCTCGCATTTCCACAGATAAATATTTGCAATGTGGCAGTGCTGCTTTTTAGCCACCTGACCCTGGACAAGTCACTTATCCTCTTTGGATCTCATTTGTAAAATGGACATAAAACCCCTCTGCTAGAAGTGTTACTGAGAGAGTCAGATGACATGGCACATAGCACAAAATGAGTGCTCAGTGACTACGAGTGCCCTGTTTCCCTCTTGTGGGTACTGCTGACAAATATTTGCTCCCTTCCAGGGCTCTACACTACATCAGATCCCAAGGGTACTGTAGAAACACAAAACAGTGGCCCACTGACATGCTTAGGTGAGCACATTCTGAACTGCCAATTATGCCTCCTTGGACAATGGCCTGAATGTATGACTTATTAACTCATAGCCTGAACACAATAAAAACACAATCGAGCTCCATTGGAAACAGCAGGGCACATTCAGCTCATATATATGGAGAGGTCTTAAAAATTTAGTGTCCACCTGTAGTGATCTGGACTTTGCCAAGGACAGCTCTACCTCAAGCGACTAGCCCTGACTGGGAGAGCATCACATGGTGAGCAAATATGACTGGGTTTGGAGGATATCAAGGTGTTACAAAGGGGCCGTGAAGAACATCCAGGATTTTTACTTGGAAGTAAAGAACTTAAGGGATATGTTACTACATGGAAAAGAATAAAAACTGTCTGGGGCTTCAGAAAGCTGAATTATAGTCAGTGACTGGAAATATAAGAATAAAGAACTCCATTAACTGTTGAAGCCATCAACAACAACAAATAAAGGGCTGCCTTATGAGGGAACAACATTTTATCCAAGAAATATTGGAGCAGAGGCTGAAAGATGAGTCATCAGTAAGCTAAAGAAGGAATTCATGAGCTGGATGATAAGCAGGTGTGTGTCGTTCCTTCAAATTCTATCATCCAAATGCATTTCTCAACTATAATGCTCGGCACATGACCATACACTGTAGGAAAACTTGGCCATTTGCATAAGCAAGGGGAAGAACTAAGCGATTGATCAAATAGTTAAGTGTCCATTTCTAATTAGTCCTACCATTCACTGTCATTTCAAAGGACTGGCTGTGGGTAAGTTAAATTCAGCCTCATGCTATTTATTATTCAGTGTCTCCATAAAAAAATTCAGCATAGTCACACATGTGATTTCTACTGCTTGAATGTAAAGACGTGTCACCCTGATAAAGAATTTCCATTAGTGACCAATCCCATTTGATTGGATACCAAAGAGTGCGTAGCCAAACACTACTGGCTGCACAGGTCTGTTCCCCAAGGCTGACTGACAGCATCTCAGGCTTTCTGAGCTCTTAAGGCCTGGTACAGTGGAGATACGGAGAGAAAAAGAGAAACTGGGGGAAGATCACATACTCCAGTCTGTCACTCTGAAATCTAGGTACTATTTGGAATATTCTCTGGCTGCTGTTTTTGCTTTTCAAATGCGGATTTTGCTGAGAATCAACATTTGACAGAAATCCACACCACTCCACGGGCCACACATCTGAACCATGTTGAGATCTGAAGCTTTGGCCTTGCTCTTTTGATCTCCGCACATCAGAACACAATCTGGAATGTGCGTGGAGACCAGAGAAGCCATCTGAACTCCACACGCTCCTCATTGCTGGTCCTTTTCTTGTGCTATCCATGTACTCATATGCAAGGGAGCTACGAACACTGAAGAGAAGGAAACAAAATCAATCCCAAATGTGGGACCCGGATCATTCTAAGACGGATTGTTTACAAATGGCTTGAAGAATCTCGGCACCATCACTGTGCGCAGCCAGTGGAACTAGAAGGAGATAGATCTCCCAGATCCTCCGAAATTAATCCTTAGGGCTAATGGCAAGATGGGTAAGATTCAATCACTGGGCTGCAGACAAACTCCACAGCTGCAATGTGGCTATGAAAATGGTGTAGTCAGGGCTACATAGTTTAATGAATTAAACATGGATTTGGTTTTTAGCTCAACTCTGGAAGTGGTGAGATATGAGGAGAGTGACAGAGCCACTAATAAATCCATGGCTTACACTCGCTTCCCTGACTAGAAGTTGCTGGAGCCGGGAACACAGAGTTGGGGAATGGGGAAAAGAGAGAAGATGGAAGCTTGGAATCTGCTGTAGGAAGAATTCTAATTCAGTGTGACTTTTCTTCTTTAAATTAAAAATGTGACAGTAAAACATCAATAAATAAATGCTTGTGGAATCCACTATACAACAACTGTGGGTTTTAGACCATCAGACAGTATCATGTCCCTGTAATTATCATTGTCTAGGATACATTTAAATAAAATTTAGATTTTCGTTTTTGGTAAAAGAAGCATGTTACAATTTTTTCCCTCCCAATTCATGTAGGACTCTAAGAACACATTTTAAATCAGTGCTTCTACACAGGAACGAAATCCACTATTATGGAATTTCAATTCTTGTTGAAAAGCAACTTTATCTGAAGAGTACACAAGAAGATTCAAAGTTAAGTAACAGTGCAGTCCAGAGTCCCTACATGAATAAAACTGACTATATGTTAAAAATAGGATTTGCACACTGGTAAGAGACTTGTTTACAATTCTGGGGAGAAGGGAAGAAACTGTAAGAGGGAGAGAAAAGGGAAGAAAAAGAATAAGGAAAATAGTAGGAAAAGAAAGAACATTTGTTTAGCTTAACAGTCAATGCAACCATAATGCAACTTTTAATCAAGCTGGGTTCACGCCATTCCAGCAGGTATTGCATGGGTGGCCTCATCACCAACAGACAGAAGTTTCTGGGGCTCCATACTCACCAGTGAGTTCTTCCAGAGCAGGCTGTCCAGTCTTGGTGAAGTGGCTGGGCTCCATGCTCACACCTGTTGAGCTTGACTCGGCAGTAACATTCCCTTCAGTGTCTGTCTGAGACCTTCACATACAAACCAAAGCAGACACGCTTGTCATGACAGGCAACTACCCCATCTGGACCACTGTGGTCTACCATAGCCCTCACCACCACCTCCTGCACAAGAAGCTTCAGAACAGAGCAGACCAGTGGACTGAGGTGAAATAATTCATGAGCCTTATGTAGAGAAATGTCCTAAGAACAGAGAAAGTTACTAAACTGTGAAGATAATCTTTTCATTGTCCAAATGGAGGGGCTGCAGTCCCTCACTGGGAAATGCTTCTCTGAATCTCCCTCAGGGTGTTAGGTCTAGCCAGACACATGCTGGAGGGTACTGGGTGGTTTGAGTAATTTAACCTATGCCAAAGAACAACTTCTAAGAAACCAGCAACACCAAAAAGTCAAACATAAAGATGACTCTATTAACAGCATCCCCACCCCAAAATCCTCCTGACATGGCTCTCTCTATGAAGGTGGCCATAAAACCAGTCGGAAGTGGGTGCCAAGCAGGTGTGTTTGCCCTCCAGGTCTCTGATTCAGAGCTTAGCTCTTCTGACATGAAAGGTCTCATTGATCATTATTACAACACTTGACTGAAATCTGTACTTCCCCAAACCCTCTCCATGCCCTTATTTGTCAAGCAAATTGAAGCAATGGCTTTGTGCAGTGTTTTCATGTCACAGCTACCTCTGCTCATTCAGGCATGGCATGCAAATGTATAATTACACTCAGATGCATGACCCTGCATATAACATTATTAACGCACTGGCATCCTGAGCTAATTCAACCAATTGCACTACCTGTGAAGGAAATGTTTGCCGAGACTGAGAGTGGACGAGGGGGAATGTGTACTGATAAACCTCGAGTCATCCAACTGTTCTTCCCTCCTTTGTTCTTCCCACCGAGGCCATCATTCTCAACTGTGTTATCTTTACCTTTAAAGGATTTCACAATCCCTGTGCTCCTTTTATCCCCAGCCAGGGTCCAAGCCCTCATCGTCTCTGTTGAGGCCTTATGAGCACTTTGAAATAGGTACCTCACACCTGGAGGTTACAAATGGCAGCCAGGTGTGGAAATCAGCCCGATTTATTGCTACTGGTCTGCATAATATTTTAAAAGTTTTAAAATTAGCTCAATATTTTAAAATTGGGATATTTCACAATAAATATCTGGAATTCTGCCTTCGTCCATAAAAACAAAGTCTGGGAAAGACTGAGGATTTGTTCGTGTAGAGCGCCATCTGCTGGTGCTAAGTGGTGGCTGCATCCTCTAAAGAGGTATGGCTCTCTCTGCCGCAGCCCCGCTCACCCTGAGCCACCCATCTAGATGACCATTTAGGTGCCCATTAGGCATCTGCATCCATAATCTCCATTCTACACTCTTCCTAAGTCTGGACTACTCCTCACACAATTCTTCGTTGATTTTTGTAATATCGATGTGATGACAACCCTGTCTTCAGTGGTTTCCATTATCTACGAAATAAGGTCTAAACTCCTTATTGTGGTAGATGATGGCCAAATTCTTCCTTTATTTCCAGCCCCATCTCCTGCCTTTCTGACCCTTTACATACAGCTCTACTATGCTCCACCTACATGTGCCTTCTCTCCACATGCCTTTAAAAACTTTATCTTTGTAGTAACTGCAAGCTCTCTGCCTAAAGGCTCTTCTCCTTCCTTAGCTGGCTCCTAATCTGTCTTTAAGATGCAGCTTCCATGTCATCTTCGCCTGGGAGCCTTTCTTGACTCCTTGCCAGCTGATCTTCCCACCTCTTTTGTGTTCCTATAGCACTCTCTTTATTCTCCTGTTGGCTAAAATGTGACCTAATAAGTAAATCTGTCCTCAACTAGATTGAGAGCTCTCCAGAGGCAAAGGTCAGTTCAAGTTCATAAGCTGCACAGGCAACACAAGAAGGGCGTGTTGACTGGATAAATAAGTGCTTAAGTCTCAGAAGATGCTAGGGACTAGAAGGAGCATTAGACTTGGAAGTCTAAATATTCAGCTAGCTCCAGGTCTAAGATCTATAACTTGGTAGCCATGCAAATTTGAGTTAAGTCACTTCCCCTCTTTGAATCTCAGCATCCTCATCTGTACAATGGGGATAATAATGGCAGCCTCCTTGGGTTCTGTAAATATCAAAGGTGTTGTGATGCACAACTCTCAGTAAACTATAAAGTAATAGTTACATATGAATTGATAAATAGAATTCATTCTGGGTGATTTTTTAAAAAATGACCCATCTTCCCTTTACTCCTTGGTAACAACTGTAACAGGGAGAAGTTTTGGAGGAAGCAATTGTAATTTATATATAGTGAACCACAAGCTTGAGGGAGAGAATTTTAGAGCAGAAAGGGAAAATAAACCATTTTATAGAATCTAATCTAATGCAATCTTCCTACTTTCCAGATGAAGACAATGAAGATAAAGTGATTTAGAGTCAAGACTAGTGGTTAAGAGCCTAGTCTCACTAGTTAGACAGACTTGGGTTTTTTTTTTTTTTTTTTAAACAGAGTCTTGCTCTGTTGCCCAGGCTGGAGTGCAATGGTGCATTTATGGCTCACTGAAACCTCTGCTTCCCAGGTTCAAGTGATTCTCATGCCTCAGCCTCCCAAATAGTTGGGACAACAGGCATAGTCCACCTTGCCAGGCTAATTTTTGTATTTTTAGTAGAGATAGCATTTCCCCATATTGGTCAGGCTGGTCTTGAACTCCTAACCTCAAGTGATATGCCCGCCTTGACCTCCCAAAATGATGGCATTTCAGGCATGAGCCACCATGCTCAGCCCACATTTGGTTTTAAATGTGAGCTCTTCTAGTCTAGTTCTTGGAGCAAGTTGCTTAATTACCCGAGGTGCAGGAAGAACAAAATGAGCTAAGATGTGGAAGTCCTTAGCGGAGTCTCTTCCTGCACTCAATCAACAGCTGTTCCTGCAGCCAGTGCCCAAGACCTCAGGGGGCATCAAGGGCTGACAAAGGACAGGCCCAGGTGTCCTGATTCCTATCCTGGTGCTCTTCTTTCCAGCGTCACTTCCCAGACTCCACTAAAGATGAAGGCACCTCAAAGGGGCCAGAGGGACGTTACCCAGAGTGGGCAGTAACGTAAAAATGGGGCCAGTCAGATACACATCCTAGACGTTTTCCTCTTCCTCCTCTTTTTCAGACATTTGCTCTTTATCGTTAAGACTTTTTCTTCTGATAGAAAATCTTGAAATAAAAAAAGGTTATGTGTTTTATAAACTTTCAAATGATTATAGCGAACAACCACAAAGGAATGAGATTGATGGTGATCAAAGGCTGTCATATTTTAATTTTGAAAATGCAAATTGAGAGTCTGTGAATCTTGAATATGTATTACCTCATGACTAATAATGCTATTGGAATTACAGAAATTTCATGTGGAGCTATTCAGTTGCCTTCACAGTTCAGAGAACAATTGTATTAAAAGCTGTGCATGTAGACCAGCTGAGTCATTATCTAAGCCCTGGGGCTCTTCTCAGGACTGTTAGCTGAGCTGATGACTTGATTCAATAAAACGAGAACTTCTCCCAATTAAAAAGATCTGTATGACCCTCACTGAAGGGGAATGTGAGCAGAAGAAAAGGCAGAAGGGCAATGCCTGACATTCCTTTGCTGTCCTGGTGCTGGCTGGCTTTCCTTTGAAAGCACATAAGCTAGTCCCTCCACCAGCTACTGGCAGGAACTGTAACAGAGCCCACTAGAACACAACTCAGGAGGAAAGAGGGAATATTGAATTCTTTGGGGAATCATACAAACATAGCAAGCTGAAAGTCTGGGCATGCAGCTCTGCACCTGAACAGGCATGTAAATGCACGAATATATGTGCCTTTGCATTTTATGTATGACTAGCGTCCATACTTCCATGTTACTTTTAATGTGTGTCCACACATATGGCTGTATGAGTGTGTGTACAGTTGTGCATCTGTATGCACTTGAGTTAAAACTGTAAAATAAGTGTCTAGAATGTGACACTCGATCATTAATCCTCTTTTGTGTGTACAAGTATTAGTTATTCAATTGTGTAGTGTGGCCAAATGCACTGCTCACCTCCAGCACAGAATTGAGTTGGTTAATGTCAGTGAAAGCTCTGGGAATTAATAAGAATGTCAAGGGCAGGGGCTGGGGAGCTTCCATCTGCCGGCAGTGGACTCATCCATGTGTGTGACCTGGCCTCCGGAGTCTGCATGCCTCATTCAGTAAGGGGTGTGGTACAGCCTGAGCAACAAGCGATATCGATGACTAGAATCACACAGAACAGAAGCACCTGGCTCCACACAGTCTCCCATGGTCTTGAGGATGCGCCATCAAAGAGACAGGGGTTCAGGGGGACAGATAAGGACAGAAGGATCCATCCATCACCACAAATGCCCAGGCTTATCTCCTCAGAACATGAGCTCTTCTGTTCTCCCAGAACTGGCCCCTCCCCTACCATTACTCTTCTCCCCCATGTCCCTCTCCCTTCTGAAAGCCCCAGCAAACAGCAGGGACTGTGAGGATCTCGATGTGCAAGGCAATCCCTGCTATAAGAAATCTTAGTTATTGAGCCAGGTGTTTATTTTTGTGGGTTTTTTTTTTCAAGGTATGTTGGGATGTGTTAGGACTAATGCCGGAGCCTGTCAGGTGACACAAAACCATCCCCACTCTCACATTCGGGCCTTCACGCTTCTACTCAGGCAAGTTGCTGCTACAAGGCCTGGGGTTCCCACATGCCTACACACCCTGGGATCAGCTTACATTTTACTTCCCTTCTTCAGCTTTCTCTGTCCCTCCCTGACCTGTGCTGTATGAACTGCTCCCTGGAGTCCAATGTGTCTGCCTCTCTTAGGAGCTTATCCCATGCTTTCTTAGCTATTGGCTTAAATATTCCTGGAGCACAGCCTAGCTCCTGTCCTCACAGAGCCAGAATACACTAAAAGGCTCTTTTACCCAATGTCCCAGGCAGCACAGGTGGGTGGCAACTCCTACCTGTACAGGAAAGGTGCGACCGTGGCAGTGTTGGGATGGTTGTATTGCTGCTGGGGCTGAGGTAGCTGAACACTGACAGTATTGCTTCCTGTGGTCTGGGTGGTCCCGACAGACCCACTGACGGTCTGGCTGCTGATGCTGTGGTTCAGGGTGGTCCCTCCCAGGCCTTTTCCTTCTGAGGATGCCAGGCTAGAAGAGGAACTGGAGTGTCTGCCGTCCAGCTGGGGCTTCTGCTGGGGAAGCCCTGAGCTCAGCTTCCCACTCCGGCTCCGCTCCCCTTCCTTGGAAGGTGCTGGGGCACTTGGGGATTTCCCAGGCATGCTCTTCATTCCTGGTTTTGGTATTCCACTGTGGGAAGGGGCCACGGGCTCCTTCTTGGCACTGTTGAGCTTCCCCCCTTTGGGAATGAAGCTGGCGATCTTGGAGGACTTTTTTGGCATCTCGGGCATGGCTGTTCCACTGGGATCTTCTTTTGGCTCTTCCTTGAGGTCCAGCCTCTCCGTCACAGAGGCTCTCTTGGCAAGGTCCTTGCTTTTCTCCTTATCCTTCTCCCGCTGTTGTTTCTCCTTCTCTTTCTCATTGCCTTTTGGAGAACTCTTCTTGTTGGTCAGCGCCCGGCTAAAAGTCCTCTGGGCAATGCCCTTGAGTGCAATCTTGGGGCTGCTGGAAACAGGGCCCATGGTGGTGAGCATGCGACCGGTGGCCTCCAGCTCCTCGCTCTCTTCGAAACTGGGCAGAGTCTCCAGTCGCTCACAGCTTGTGTCCCGGGACCCCGGGCCCTCACCTGCCTTTGAGCCCCCTTTACTGTTGAAAAGTTTCAGCTTTTCCAGCATGGACTTCTGATTGTTGGGGGCCGGTTTCATGGCTTCAGGTGTGGGCCTGGGGGCCTCAGGCCCAGCAGGCTTGATGGAGAGCATGGATACCGTGGCACTGTGCTTCACGCTGAGGGATTTGCTGCGCCAAGGCTTGGTGGCTGCGCTGGGCTGCGGGATGGCCGAGGAGGTGCTACAATTAGTAGGGGTGGAGCTGCTGCTGCTCTCCAAGGGAGCAGGTGCATTGTCGCTCATTCCGGGGTGGGAGGAGGCTGAGCTTGCCAATGGCTCTGCAGAGACAGAAGAGAGGAGACCTGAATCACACCTTTTGACCTGCACTGAAGACCAGGGAGGGTCAGCCACAGCCACACAACCAGTCACTCCCAACCCAAATGCTGTATAGGTCCATTGCCCGCTTTGTGGATGATCTGTTGTTAAGTTTGAATTACTGGCTTGACTTCCTCCTGCTTTCCATCCTGCGCAGTTCACATCCCCCTGACCCCATCACTTTTGGTGGCATGTGCCATGCAAACGCATGCTGATCTTAACAGATTTCAACAGATACCTATGGCAATAACATAGCCAGTTCAGGAAAGAGCAGGAAATACCTACCACTTTGAATTATTCATCCCATAGCCCATTTCCCCACTATGGGAAAGAATAAAGAATTATCCAACTTTAAGCAAACAATGTAGCAGAGACATTAAAATACAACATTTACAAAAATAGAAAAGGAGGAGAAACCATGTAGAATCTTTAAAAAAGAATAATTACACACAAAAGTTGTTAAAGCCTGTTAAAACATCTAAGTTTTTCCTATGCTGGCAGTTTTAAAAAGTTGCAAACAGCTGGGCGTGGTGGCTCACACATGTAATCTCAGCACTTTGGAAGGCTGAGGTGGCCGATCACCTGAGGTCAGGAGTTCAAGACCAGCCTTGCCAACATGGTGAAACCCAGTCTCTACTAAAAATATAAAAATTAGCTGGGCATGGTGGCGTAAACTTGTAGTCTCAGCTATTCAGGAGGCTGAGGCAGGAGAAGTGCCTGAACCTGGGAGGCGGAGGGTGCAGTGAGCCAAGATCATGCCCCTGCACTCCAGCCTGGGCAAAAAGAGTGAAACTCTGTCTCAAGGAAAAAAAAAAAAAAGAATTGAAAACATGATTCAGGCTGGACTTAAAAACAAAACAAAAAGGTTTTTATTTCCTTTTTTTTTTTCTGCTTTAAAATGTAATCTATGCACATGGCTTCACTGTGGGCAAGAAAACACACAGGTTATCTCAAAGACAAGGCTTCCCCTTGGCGCTCAGCGAGTGTTTCCCTGGCCAGACACTTTTCTCAGAAAAGCCTCAAAATATTTCCAAACTAGAGTCAGAATTGTTCTAGTGAGGGCAGGCTCCAAACTAAGAGTTCGGCTAGTCACCAAGGCGGCCAATGTCACAGAAACGGAAAGTGCAGCACACTTTTTCTATAGTTAGTGCTCAGGATGATGTAGCCTATCTCCCAAGCAAGGGAAGCTGTTGGAGAGAAAGTGCCAGGCAAGGCACGTCTCCACTGGGCCCCGTGCCCGCGCCCACCCACACCCCATGCCCAGTGTGCGCAGCAGACAGGATACACCCCTTCAGCCCCCCAGAACGCACCTCTGCATCTGAAAAGTCCCAATGACATGACTTACCTAGCAGCAGCCACTTTCTCCCACAATGAGTCCCTAGGAAAAATTCTCCAGTCGGAGAGGCTGCCCTTCCAATTGTCACAAGTGTTTTCGGTTAAACTGCTCATGTTTCTAATTAACTTTTGTCATCTACAACTACTCCAGTGCCCAGAAGCCTGACTGGATTAACGGCTGCAGCTTCTGCTGTTTTTTTTTTTCTTTAATACCTATGTTCCACTGCCTTCTAGCAACAGAATAAATGGTATATAGAGCAGCTTTTTATGATTTAAAAATCAACGGCCGCTGAAGCCAAGTGAAGGCAGCCCCTGTGTGGGGCGTGAGCACCGCGCCGTGAGAGCTGCACAGTAGAGGAACTGCTTCCTTTCACTCTCAGCTGCTTGGGGAAGCCACAGCTCCAGGGTGATCCAAAGCAGACCTCCCAATGTTTTAAAACACATATATCTTCCTGACTTACTGGGGATTTGGGTTTGGAGGGAGGGTGCCTCACAATCCTCCCTAACAAAACTCAAGGGGTGTTACTGGATCTTTTCCTGGGGAGAGTCAGAGACTGGCTTGGAATCAGGCTCATAGAACCCACCCACATTGCTGGGCCGTTGGAAGGTTGCTACAGGCTTGATGCTGCCCCTTGGCGATCTCCTGGGTGTCAGGAGGCTCAGTGCTCAGTCAGCACGTTGTGAAAAGGGGGTTCCTGCCTCTATTTTAAGAGTGAGGAAGCTAAGACTTAGGTAGGGCAAAAAATGATCCTAAATTACACAGCTAGAAAGGCAGAGATCTGGGATTTGAACTCAGGTCTCCTGACACGATATCACAGCTACCTTCGTTGATGAAGAATACACCTAAACAGCCACTTAAACAACAGAGCACTTTTAGGAACTGCCCTTTCTACTACCTTACATATGTTCATGACATCCATGGTGGAGTACAAACTAACCCTGTCATTCTACTACCTTATGTATGTTCATGACATCCATGGTGGAGTACAAACTAACCCTGTCATTCTACTACCTTATGTATGTTCATGACATCCATGGTGGAGTACAAACTAACCCTGCCATTCTACTACCTTATGTATGTTCATGACATCCATGGTGGAGTACAAACTAAACCTGCCATTTCAAAGGAAGCAGCCTACATCACAGAGGATGGCTCTTTGGCTGAAATAATAATGAGCCCGCCAATCCTGAGTACCATTCCTCTTAGGAAAACTGCCTTTCCCTATACCTGAACTCAGATCTGGGGCAGACATGAAGTTTTCATTCATTCATTCATTCATTCATTCAATATATCCATTCATATCTATCTATTCATTCGTTGAGCTCCTACTATGTCAGATACTGTTTTAGGTACTTGGGATCCATCTATGACAAAACACAAATCTCTGCCTTCATGGAGTTTACATTTCAGCAAGAAGCAGATAATAAATTTAATTAAATAAATAATATTATTTGTTAAAAATTAGTGCTAAAGAAAAGGAAGGGGTATTAGGGGGCAGGTTGCAACAGTGTCCTTATAGGAACTACCAGATCATGTTCAAAGGTATGTTCCTCTTTCCTCAAGACGTTTTAGACACAGTTCCCATGTGTGCATGGATTGATGCGACCCTGTTGCTTGGAACTACTCTGAGGCTTGCTCAGAAATGGATGTCTCTACTACCATTTCTATCCATTTCTATGTTTGTTTGATTGTTTGTTTGTTTTTAACACTAAAAATCATAGCTAGAAATTAACCAAATAAGTAACTAATAACTGACCCAGAAGAAAACAGATACCTGGCTTGTCTTGGTGAAATGGCCATCTGAGACCTTCAGTCCTAGTTTATATCATACAGCATTTTCCCCTACTGGGTACTCGCTTGGATTCTGCCCATAATCTCTTCCATGAAATGATTATGGAGGGCCAGCTACTTTATACAATGCTCTGGGAACACAGAGTTGAATAAAGCTCCTGCCCCCTAGGAACTCACTGTCTTAGGGTGCAATGGACCTCAAAACAAACCATGAACACAGAGTAAAAAGTGGTAGAGGGCTCTGTGAGGTGCCATGAGGACCAGAGGATTAGTAGGCCACTAATTCTCCCTGAAGAGTTTGGGAAAGCTTCCTGGAGGAAGTAATCCTTGTATTATCCCATGGTGCTTCTGCTTTAGGTCAGTTTGTTATTCCCCTGGTCCAGAATTTCCTCCAGGACAGAAACTCCCCTCCCTAACTCATCTTTGTGTCCTAAAGCCTGCTGGAGCATAAAGATACTTAGTAAATGGCTTCTGAATTACTGGTTGGTATTTTTGACATTTACAAGTCACATTTAAGGCAACAGAGATGTAGGATTTGTGATGAGTCTTTAGGGTTTTATTAAAACTCTTTAGCCTAAACTCAGGAAAAAATTCAGACTAAAACACAGAGAATCAGAATGTCTATGTGGTATTTAGTCTGCGCTCCCCTGGTTATTAAGTCATGGGGGCTACTCATTAGTTACAAAATGTAGCACTTGGGTATCACTCTGAATTTGGGTTCTAGAGCAGAAGTCTTGAGTGGGGCTAGACAGAGGGCACTAGGGCACCTGAGGACCAGGCCATCAACATTCTATACTCATGTCACAGCCAGAAGTCCCCTATGTAGTAAAGGAGACGTCATGTCACGAGTGGTCTTATACAAAGTAACTTGATACATTTCTATCATTCTTAGGCTATCACACCAGTGACCTCAGAGCTTGGATGAGTGGCTGTTACAGGCCTGTTCCTCTCTTGTCTATTTCTTTTTCTTTTTCTTTTTTTTTGAGATAGAGTCTCACTCTGTCACCCAGGCTGGAGTGCAGGGGTTGATCTCGGCTCACTATAACCTCCACTTCCTGGGCACAAGTGATTGATTCTCCAGCTTCAGCTTCCTGAGTAACTGGAATTACAGGCAAGTGCCACCAACACCCAGCCAATTTTTGTGTATATGTGTGTGGGTTTTTTTTGGTAGAGCTGGGGTTTCACCATGTTGCTCAGGCTGGTCTCGAACTCCTGAGCTCAAGGGATCCACCCACCTCAACCTCCCAAAGTGCTGGGATTACAGGTGTGAGCCACCACGCCTGGCCGCCTTTGTCCATTTCTAACCCTCGGGTCCCATGACTCCAAGCATGAAGCTCCCCAGGCTTCTCAGATAGTGAGTTAAAGAAAGGGGAGGTGCGGATGAGTAGGCTGGACCTCAGACTTTGTTCTCAGCTCGTGGCGTGATCTTAGGTATGCCATTTTGCTTCTCTTGGCTTTAGTTGCCCCATTTGTTAGAAAAAGGATGAGCTGTTTCTCTAGTGTTCTTATAGCTTTGTTTCTATTCAAATCTGGGCAAGTCTCTGAGAGGCTCTCTGAGGCTGGGTGATGTCCAATCTTGATGGAGAAAACTGGCTGGGTCAAGGTATGGTCAACCTTAGATAAGCTGCTTGTGAATTCATTGCTAGTATCCTATGAAAATCAGTTTGGGGGAAGGAAGGTGGGACGAGTTCTTCAAAATGAAAAGCACTTCTCTCCCTGATAACTAATAGCTCTGGTTATTTTCCTTAAGTATATGAAACTTTGTTAAAGCAAAGAAACCTAAGGGGGAAAAACGAAAGCATAAAAGAACGTTTTGAATGTCTGTATCCCCCAAAT